TTCGTATTCTTTATAAATTTTACAATTTCTTCTTCAATAACTTTTTTCTAGAAATTTCAATAATATAATCTTATAGTTTTTATGTCATATCATAAACTAGAATGTTTAAGCTTCAATTTAACATACATATCATATCACGATTCTTAAAATCACAGTAGATATGATTTTTTGAAAATTTTGTAATATTTTTGATTTATAAATTTAACAATGTCTTCTTCAATAATTTTTTTCTAGAAATTTTAATGATATAATCTTATAGTTTTTATATCATATCATAAACTAGACTCATTAAGCTTCAGTTTAACATACATATCATATCAAGATTCCTAAAAACACAGTTAATATGATGTTTTGAAAATTTATCTTTTATTCATAAATTTGACAATTCTTCAATAACTTTTTTCTAGAAATATCAATAATATTATCTTATAGTTTTTATATCATATCATAAACTAGAATCTTTAAGCTTCAATTTAACATACATATCATATCATAATTATTAAAAATACAGCAGATATAATTTTTTGAATATTTTGTCTTATTCTTGATTTAAAATCTTGACGATTTCTTCTTTAATAATTTTTTTTTGGGAACTCCAATAACGTTATCTTCTTGTTTTTATATCATATCATAATGTGCCCTTTTGTATTATTATATTAGTGTTGGAAAATATTGAATGCCTCAGTTTTCTTAAAAAAGTTCGACAACCTGATCAGCAATTCTGAAAATTTTTGGAAATACAAGAATTGATTTTTTTATAAAAACTTTTTAACATCGAAACAATAACTTTTATATTTTCTAAAAGAAGAAGATTTTAGGTTCAGTTATTTTATAATCTCAATAAGTAAGACTTCCAGAATGTTTTGAATTTAATAATTTTCCTCGTCTTAATCAAACTACAGTACACAAACTATTTAATTTTATTTTATTCCTTTCCCTTATGGCATTTACGAGAAAGTAAAAAGACATTCGCAAGGTGATATCGTTCCCTCGGTCGTTTTAATTTTCCTTTGCATTTCTCTTCTAAGACGAGGAATTAAGTTTGGCTTTTGTAAATTAAAACGGCAGCGGGCGGTTTTTACTCTAATTAATTCCGCTTATAAATTCCGATTTCTCGGGGGCCGGACTTCCGGGCAATGCGGAAGTCCGTTATTGCCCGGCCCGTATGCCGCCTTGACGAATTCACTTTTCCTCCTTGCGCAGGAGGAAAAGGCACCGAAAAGGAAGGGTGGAAGAAATTAAATCCCCGCCGAGATTATAGTAAATACAGCCCGGGCTCGTAATTGGATTAAGTTTCGAATAATTTGCTTCTAATACCGTTCGTTGTAAATAGCGATTTCATTCCGAACAATTCTAATTTGTTTTATTTACGTTTTTGGGTTGAGTATAATTGCAAGTATGCAACCAATATCACAATGCAATACGCATCATACGTAAATCGCGTATTGCAATAAAAATATTGTGATATTGGTTGCATACTTGCAATGATGACGTCGGGTACGATAATTAATTAACACACTGTATGATGTAGTATGTAATAATAAGAGAAAGAAAAACAAGAAGGGAAGTTTTCTCGGTAGAGAAACTTCTCGATCGCTTATTGACGTAATGAAAAAGGTTCCGCGCGTATATTGGGGCACTCTTGTAGATGAGCAAGTCAATCGAGCACAAGCTGAGTGGTTCCTTAGCTTCACTCAGGTCTATTTGTCAAATTTCACCTTCTAGGGACGAGTTGGTCATTACGAAGCGTCATCATCATTTTCCCTTTAAGCCCCATTTATTTCAATTCGTCTTTATTCGCTCCCTTCCACGGAATCGCGTCCGGTTGTCACCGGGACGTCGAGGATTCTTTCAAGTCATGTAGTTTTATATGCTCACCCCACCGTATCAGGTTCGTTTTTACATATAAAAGGTCGATGCCGATCGGTAGGGGGAGGAAAGCTGCTCGCATAAAGTCCTTCCTTCCTTGGGGCGCCATTATTGTTTTTATTGTTGCGAATATCGACGGACGGCGCGCGTCCGGTCGGCTAACGTCGTTCGAGGATGAATAATTCAATAACGATCCGAAGGGGCAATGAAAATGTTTGCCGGTGACAAAGTAAAAGTGCGCAGGAGTCCGCGAAATTGGTCGCGTCGTCGTTGAGAAATGGCCCGTTCGTTTGGCCGGAAAGTCGAAAACACTGGGGGTGGTCTTCAGGTGTAGGGGCGGGACTCGGAATTGCCGCCATTTGTCACCATCTCGTCTTGCGCTAGTTTCTCAAGCTGGACCGCCGGGAAACGGCAAATGAAGAGTTATTGTAGGGAATCAGCCGAACAGAAAGGATGCTAAGTGAAGAAACGACTCTTACTTTAACTCACTACAAACTCTTTTAAATAATTACTCGCCAAGCAGAAATAAGCAGAAGCGGCATAAATGAAATTAGAACCTCTTCTATGTAGATTGCCCAATAAATAGAGTCTAATCGAATAATAAGAGAGCATCAAATAGACTATATGCCAAAATTCCATAGCGCAACCTCGACTCGACCAAACAATGATACATTGTCTTTAAGTGATAAAGATTGTGTATGGAGGAATTTATACTATTAATGCATAGGGTATTTGTTGTCAGGTTAATAGACACTCATCGTAGACTGGCAGCTGATTAGGTCGAGAATAGCATGAAAGCCAATCAAATATTTTAATAGCGTCATTCTCTGCCTTAGCCTGAAACAAGAGTATCACCAGCAAGTGTTCGGTGTCTCCTGATTTCTTACATTAACTCATTGGAAACTTTTCTAAATAATTGCTTACGGTTCTCCTTCTAAAGGGGAAGCGGTATAAATGGGATTAGAACCTCTTCTATGTATATCGGTCAATTCCATCTTGCTGGAACATTTTCGAACACTGC